ATTTTTTACAACAGAACAAAAGAAACTCAGTTATTATTTAACATTTTCTAGCTTAGTGTCTAATGATTTTTATTTGAATAAGTGTTACCATTAAAGTTTTAGAAAATTATGATTTTTTTCCCTTCCAGTCTTCTAGGAAATAAAACTAACTGAACTATTCATGTGTAGAATTTCATTTTGGTGTATGTTTTATTAACATTTGTTTTTGGTGAAGTAATAAAAAGATGTACAAACTGCTAACTAATTTAGCCTCCCCACTTATGATTTTTATTTTGGGAATAAAAATCATGAAACTTCCCATCTGTGTGGATACAATTTGTCAATATATGATTCAAAGTTGCAAATGTGTAGTCTATATATTTATTTGTTACTTGTTTTTTTGCTCAAGTAGTTTGTAAACAGTGGACATTTGAAATTGGTAGTATGAAAAACTAAACTTTAATGCTTGCATTTTTTGTTTTAAAATGTCTGATCTTCTAAAGCTAACAAAATTTTAAGTGCGTCTTGTGAAAAGTGAGATTACTTCTTAGTCAAAGTCTATTTTTCATAGAGTTAACTTCCATCCTTTTTATGTCTGAAGCATTTTCTGTTTTCATACCTTCAAATAATCTTAACTGTATAATTTTTTTATTATATGTAAAGGTAATCAATTAACGTTATTGTTTCCTCTGCTTGTTTGTCTATTTTGTTGAAGTAATTAGTTTGACAGTTCCTCTTACATTTGCAAAATCTCCTGTTTGTAATTTGAAACTACTTCTTCTTTTGGTGGATTTTTTCCTGCATGAGCTTGAGCTGAGTAATGGTGCTTTTGAGATGGCTTTATAAAATTATAAAAAGAATTATAGACAAACTTTATAAATGAGATCCAATGAGATAAATACTATCTGTTTAAGCTAGTTGTAACAATATACAAGACATTTTATTGCAAAATTTATTTAAACAAAGTGTGGTAATGCATTGTATTATTAGGCATCTGATTGTTACTAAGTAGGTCAGTGGTTATAGCCGAGTGTGCATTTATATCATGTATGAGTTTTTATTTCAGTGTAGATTATAAATATGCCAAAAAAATAATTGAGGTTTAAGTATATTCAGTATTTTATATCTTGTTTATGTTATAGATATAGTTTCATTTTTTAAGGTATTTTTATTAATGCAAATAGGGCAACCATGATAGAAATGGTTAAGGCAGGATTCTGTTTAATTATAAGACTTCCAGTAGTGTGCACAGCACGTTGCACTGTAGAAAGATTTCAGTATAGCCCCTTTTTGTTTTATACCTTTCATAAGAGACAAGATTTGGATGGTAATATTCTTAAGAGATGTGATAGTTTCCTTGCAAATAGAAACAAAGCTTCGGGATATTCTGAAAAAATAATACAAGTACGTCGTTTACAACCAAGACTTCTTGGAGTTGTACAGAAAGGAAAGTTTTAATGTTTTTTTTATTGTGAATTACATTAAATAAATGTTTTACAGAATGAAAAGATATCAATTCTAAAATATTTTTGTGTTAAAAATTATTGAAATAATTATTATTTTTACTTAAATTTTGAAATCTGATAGGTAAACTTGCAGTTGATACCTGAAAGGTTTTGCAGGTCATGGTAGGGTTAAAGCATTCTATTATCACTTGGGCAGCCTAATTATAATCAGTACTTTTGGCAATAATCTTAGTAATGTCTTGCATTGTTAGCCCAGCATCTGGAATAAGGAAGGTTTATGAATTTTATTATTAGAACTTCATTAGTTCTTTTCATTTGCAAGCCACTATTATACTTTTTTTTGTTCTGCTATGACTGATCTTTGTGTATGAGATTTGGTGATAATTTGTATAAGTGAATTTCAAAACAAAGTATACCAAACTTTAGATACCTGTGTCAAGCTCTACAGTCTCATTCGTAAACCAGTCCTATGTGATTTTTTGGCATATGACTTACCATCTACAAAACAAGCTGAGATAACAATTATTAATTTTGTTACAGTAGAATTCATATTGTGAAATATTTATAGAATTACAGGATAGCTGTGTGGAGATTATCATTATTTAAAATAATCCCTTAAGATTTTGTGCTCCATGTAGGTGTATGTCAGTTAACACATACTTAACAAAAATTTGAATGGGCCTTAAACTTTCATATTTCCACACTAACTTCACAGAAAAAAACATCCCCCCCAATTACACATCAAATTTAAATCCCTTCCTTTTTTTTTCCTGCAGAATATCTTAAAAAATGACTGTTTATGTTAGTGAAGTGAACACAAAAATCATGGCTACAAAGTTTTGCAATCATTCTGGACTTGGGTGAAAGCCTACCTCAAAGTTAAAATGCTGATTGAGAAATTACTTTTTTGATATAATGTTGATATAACACCACAAGATTATTCCTAACATTCTGAAAATTTGAATTTGCAAATAATAGCTTTCAGAGAAGTTGCATCTAGCAATACACACACTGGATCAAGAAGTTAAAGAACTTAAGACTTAGAATAAGAACATCTTGATAAAAGTGTATCGACAGATTGGACCTGGTTTAGTATGAAATATCTTCTACTTGGATTTCATTTGCTTATCTTCTCTCTCATTGTATGCCTTAAGAATAAGAAGTACAAAATATGTACATTTGTTTTATACAATACACTCTTTTATGTCTTTAAGAATAAGAAGATTACCTTGAATGAAAGCATTTACAATCTAAAACTGTGTACATTTATTTATTTATTTAGTATAGCTTGCAAGGAATAATTTAGGAATGATCTAACTTTCATTACTCTGCAGCTTTGAGAAGTCATACCTCTAAAAATAATACATTTATTGGTTTTATAGAGTTTTTATGGCCACCACAAAGTATAGATTTATATTTGATAACAAACTATTATCCTTTGAGAATATAATTGTTCATGTTTTGGTTTTCACATCACTTTCTTTTTTTATTAGTAGTTTTATTATTATAACCTGTCTTTATCACCCTTTTATGTCATAGCATGTGGTCTGAACAATTACTGATTAATCTCTGTTTTGAAAGTACTTATATCCAAAGTTTCAGTTTTATTTGATAGAGTATATTGTAAACTATTTTCACCAATGTAGAATACATAAAATGATTTATGATGTAGAGTAGAAGACTTGTGAACAAGCCTCACATCTGGGAATATTTTTAGATTCATTATATATCTTTTCATTCCTGAAGTTTTTTATATCTGTTAAAAAGTTACAGAAATGTTTTTTTATAACAAGAAATGAACCATATTTAGTTAGGTTTAACAAGTATGGTGGACAATGACAAAATATTCAGATGACTCAAATTCTTAGTCATTGAACATATTGTTAATATTCACATTCAAGAAATATATACAAGTAAAATAACTTATTATTTATTGAAAAGATACCCTATTAGATGTATAATAATCTCAACCATGAATATTGTTAATATTGTGATACCTAGCCTGACAGACTTTACGGTGATGCCATTTAAAAAGGTCAGGTTTACTGTAGGTCATCAATAAACATGTCATTTTTTGCCATGCTTTTTTATGACTTTTAGTTGGAAGAGGTGACTATTGTAATTGGCAAAATAAAGTATTAAACAGTGTTAATAAATATCAGTGAAGTTTAAACTGAATGGATATATAAAATTGAGCTTCGTGTTCAACATAAAAAAAAATTGAAATTGTAAAACAAAAAGAAGTATTTTAATATTTTTGAAACCATTTCTTAAAACAAAAATTTTGGACATTCCACAATCTCAGAAATCACAGAAATATTAAATTAAGTTATTTGAACTTTTTTAAAGCCTAAATTAAATGTTATTTAATAAGTTTTTACCAAGGTTAAAAGTATTGCCACTTATGGATCAAAAATGGGAGATATTAGTGACATCCTTCAGGTGTAGAAAGGGTCAATCAGTGTAGGTTTTGTTTTTGTGTGAATTGATTAATGAGTTAGTTTATTATATAGGTTCAGCTTTACTTATGTATATTTTTGTGTTCTGATCTAATTTATTATTTTTCATCAGAAATTATTAATAATTGTAGATATGTGAAAATTTGATGTTCATATTGTGTAATCCTACTGTTTTCATCACACGAATAATTTAAGAAACATTCTGAGATCATTCCTAAATCAATCCAATCAATCTAGATAAAAAACAGTAATGAGCAAATGAAGGTCTCATTACAATAATTAAGAGGTTTTTGTGATGAAGAATTGTAACTTTACTACCTTTCTGATTCCTTACATTTGCATTTTATTATTGAAGCACACCCATCATTTGCATTCTTAATATTATAAATGAAACAAGAATCAAACTTTAGTTCTGATGGACTGAATTTACCCCATTTTGTTGAACAGATTAATTTGTCAGGTATGAAAAGTTTAGGGTTAACTGAAATTGGCAATTTAATTAAGATTTTTTGTTTAACAAGGATTGTATTTTGGATTCTAATGAAGGTTTATAGACTTCAGAAGTTATTATGAAAAAGGATTTATTAGCTCTGTTGAATACTCTTATGTATTGAATTCTCTTAGAAGAGAATAAAACCAGCAGTTAAACTGCATCTTCAACAGAAAATGATTAGTGATCAGTATGCAAAGAGCCAGCATTGCATTATGGTTAACATGCCCACACTGATTCTGAGGATTCGTGGTTTGTATCCTGTTGTTTAGGAAACGTACTCCTTTTCAAGCCGTGGATGCATCATAAGAGTGGTCAAATCCAACTACTTAAGTTAGACAAGAGTAGCCAAAATCTTGGCAATGGCTACTGTTGACTAGGTGCCTTCTCTTTGCTCTTTCAGTTCAAAATTAGGGATAACTATATGCAGATAAGCTTTGTATTATACTTCTCAAACAAAGCAGCTTGTACATTGTTTACCTAAGAAATGTAGTCAAAAGACTGCACCTTATTTTACCAATTAGAAAAGCTTGTCTTGTAGGTGAAAAGTTTTTAGTTTTTTTTATTTGTGGTGCAAGATAATGTAAATAGAATTACTTTCAACAGATTTATGGTGAAAGTATGCATTTGGTGGAAGTGACTAGCAATCTGATCAATCGAGTTGTCGTACATAATCCAGAACTCCAGCAGTTGTTGCCTGAGAAGTTACAAGATGTTCAAGGGACTCTGGATTCCATGGTGGGAAATGCATATGTGTATGGAAGAGAATGGATTTCCACCACGGTGAGGAAATTATAATGTTAAGAGTATTCTCAGTATTTTTTACTGTTTTATATATTTGTGTTTAGGGTTTTCTTTTCTATCATAATTTTTTGTTTCTATGAAGTATAAGATTATGTACCTTTTAATAATCTCTATCTTGCTATTTTTCATGTATTTTGCACAATAAATGCTTGTTTTTTATGTGACAGGTGAGAGATTTTATTGATGGAAAGGATGAAACTAGAGCTGCTGTTGTTGAGGGACAGATTTTAGAAGTGTGGGATCGCATTTACCATCTTTGGATAACCAGGAATGCCACCAATGTTACCAGTGCTTTTTCATCACATCATGGAATGTCATGGAGTGATCTAGTGGATGGAATGAAAACGTTGAATTTGACACTTTTGGTCAGCTACATCCAAGAGAATATTGGCACCCTAATAGCAGTAAGACAAGTGTTTTGTTAGTAATATATATTGGAATATTGTGGAATTCAGTCTTTGTTGAAAACATTTTATCTGTTATTTATTTTATTAAACTCAGTGTAATAGGATGTAGATAATAATTAAGTTGATGTCAATCTTATTTGAATTTTAGCCTGTTTGCTAACATATAGCAAAAAATACTTGATAAATAATCATCTAGAACTATCATTTTATTGAGAACATGAGACTAAGTTATAAAAAACATACCAAAGACTACAGTATATAAGTTGTTATAACATCAGGATGATTAATTTATTCATATGGTTAAGCTTACACACTTTACTATTTATGGCCAGTAAACTTCAAATGATGAACAGCATGTCTTACTGAAAGTTAAACATGTACAAAATATCAAAAATCTAAATAAAATTAGCACAAACAAGCAATTTCCTTTAAACATTATATAAAAACAGTAACACTAATTTGTAAAGGTCTAGTAATGGTATGGTAAACAAATGTGACTGAATTTACTCTCATGTTCTTGAAAACAGTGTTGGACAACATAAGCATTGTTGGGTGGGCTTGATTCATTAACAACATTTAGCTACACTGTATATGTTATTTACATTTCTCATACCACTGCAACCCCTCAAATTGTTAGAACATAATGTCATATTCTTGTGTGGTTCTCTTCCTACTTTTACCCTACTCTTAGTACTGAAAATGTTGTAAAAATTCCTCATATTATTTTACACATTTCCAGTCATTTGTTAATAACAAGTTGCTTTCGAAGCACCACTAAAGATGTTTTCCTGTTTGCTTTTGTATGATTAATATTTTGAATGCCATGTCACATTCATTATAATGTTCTCTGATTTAATGTAGTTGATTCTTTATCACTTGACCAAATCAAGCACATATGTCACAAATTTGTTGCACTTAACAAGCCTGTCCAATATATTTCATTGGAGTCGGATACCAGGGATTGATACACACAGTTTTCTGCAGTACAGGAATATTTCCATGTTGATTGACACTCTTCATACATGACTTTAAACAGCCAGTCATAGAAATAGTCTTTAATAACAACACTTCTGCTTTACTAGCACCCACAGTAGTTCCCCTTTTTTTAGTGTTACAGATCCTTGCTCTTGTCCACTGTCTTTCCATTCGTTTTTTTCTAATCGTATTCCCGTAATTCTACTGGCTGTTTCTTGTGTCTGGTTGGGGCTCTGTGGTATTTTGTGGCTTGCACAACTCCCTTTCATGGTTCCCATTTCCAATTGTTTATACAGTGGAAACATTCCATTTCCTGCGAATTTTTTCCTATAACCCTGCCTGGTTGGTTCAGAAAATGTTTAAGTATGGCCTATTCCTCCTGATTCATGTTGCCTTTCCATGTCTCCTCACCATGTCTTTGGCTGCTCGTCTTCATTGTTCTTTGGTGGAGATTGTCCAGGCCAGCATGTGGACCACTCCTCATACATTTATGTCACATTATCTCCTTTGTCTGGCAGTTACCTTCTTGGCTGGATATCATCTACCTCCAGTCACTCATCAGTTCATATGTGGGAGGATATGTCTCTGTTATTTAGATATTTTCCTCTTACAGTGGCCTCACCTTTTTTTTTTTGATCCCACTCTGTGGCAAGTGATGCTTGTCTTGGTATACTAATTCTTAAATCTGCACAACTCTTTCTATGTGTTTTTTGCTGATCCGTTTAACCCTATTGCAATTGGCTTGGTATAAAATACTCATTTTGTATACATATTTGCAAACATTAAGTATTTATACTATAACTTTTAATGCAGTATGTGGTATACTACAAAATTTGGTAGACTTTTAGTAAACATTACAAGTCTTTTGTACACAAAAAATCAGATTTTTATTTAAGTAGTTTTACTAAAGATTTGTTTGAATATATCGAGTCTGTTTCGTTACTGGTCCGAGTGCAAAGTGATTTTCATGTTATAATTAATAAAAACCATTCTTCGTCCCAAACATCTCAAACATCATTTGTGTATATTTCAAATGTTTTTTCTTAGGAAAACTTTTTATTTTATATGTTATTTTTTCTAACATAACTGTATATGGGTTTGATCAACTGTAACTTGTAACTGCAAAAAAACGAATTTAAATAAATCTAAATTACCGTTTTTTTCTTTCTAGAATGACTTCAAATTGTAACATGAGACTACATTCATTTATCCTACATAGCTTTAAACTCATAACAGTATACATCTTTTTATACTTAAATTTTATTGTTTCATTGCTCTTTGATTGCCCTTTGAACCACTAACTAGTGCTATTCATGCAAATATAATTTGTAAATCATTTGGGGAATGTGGAGGTCATGTTACACTATCAAATTACATTTCCCATGAGCTACTCTGAGTCAGAGCTGCTCACGTGCATGCTTCGGAAAACATTATTATTATTGTTGTTTATTTTACCTGATCTAACCTTAACTAATCTAAAGAGATTCTTAATTTTACATTTTAGTTACTTTTGTAACAATAAATAAAGAATAAACATGAAAAATAAGAAATAAAGTATTTACCCAGGTCTTTTTTTTTTGCTGTTGACTGTCAATGACACTTAACCCTGCTTTCTTTTTATACTAATGGTAGAAATGCACTAAATAATTTTTGTCTAATTAAATAATGCACCAAAGAAAATAGAATAATAACATGCAAAAAGCAGACAATTTTCCCTAACTATCACAATTTTTCTGGCTTTCTAACTATGTGACAAAAACCGTTACAACTTCATTCAGGCTAGTCTCTATCTTTCCCGTGGGAATGAAACTGTTCAGAAAACAATTTAGTGTAATACATCATTTGACAGATGGAAACCTTGGCTTCCTATTGGTTATACATAATACAGTATTAAGCATAAGAGAGAACTATTAACAAAACCTGAAAGAGGGGATGTGATAGGTGGATGTTGCATGAGATATCTGATTTTCTATTTGATGGCTCAGTAACCAAACAGGATTGAAGGCTATGAAAGTTATGGTTTGTCTGAGTGATGAATTTATGTTAAATTTTGTATTTATTGGAAGGGTGGTGAATAAAATAGAGAAGAGGGGATACCTAAAGTATTTCTCATACTAAGGTAAATTCAGAATTTTTTTAAATATTACCTTATAAAACTAAGAATTTAAAATTTATATACTACCAAAATATGAATTATTAGGAACAGTTTTATGCTATACCAATTGGTATAACATAAAAAAAAGTAGTTTGATTAAATTTTGAAAATAACTTGCTAAAAGACTGTGACATACGCAGTTAGACCCGTCCGTTGCGAAAGGGTTAAAATTATAGATTTGTCATTGACTCAAATAATTCTTGTGGTTTCTATGAAGACATTCCAGAGAGTGCAGTTTCTTTAATTTATTTTTCTTTTCTGAATTCATACATGATGCTAATCCAACATGGAAAGTTGATTTGACACAATTTAGACTGAGGTTCTGATAACTTTACTATCTTTTTATTTTTGGGAAAGTTACTGGCATCAAAAATGTAGTAATTCAAGATATAAAAACAATTAATTGTCTAAAACTTTATTCACATTCTCCCTTCATAATTGTGTCTCCCAACCTTATCAGTGAATGAAGAAGTAAATTATAAATTTGCAATTTTTTTCACTGTTGCAATTTATTGTTGAAGTCCACTAGATATTTTTATTGTGCAATGTTTATAACAAACATTTTCTTGATTTATCTAGTCTTCTGTAATTGGAACTACCGTATATGTCAAACACTATTGTGAATGTATGAAAGAAAGAGAACTCATAGAAGTTTTGGTTGGTAGTTTGACAATGCATACAAAACTGTGATGACCAAGGATCTTTAGTCCATAGTGGTCATTCCTTAAAAGATATATTTATCAGAGCAAATGCTAGAGTTAAGTCTTGGTACCGTCATTGGTAATATGACTAATAACACCATAGATGATAGTAAAAATAGTTATGACAATATTACTACATTGCTTTTCCTTTATCTATGACAGGTATCTTTATAAATAGGTAAATGAATATTTTTTTATTTTCATTTACAGCTTCAACATGTACTTTTCTGACTCTGTGGTAAATATTTTATCTAATACTGGATTTAGTTTCATGTTTTACTGAATATTTGATTTTCATTTTTAAATCCTTATTGAATCAAACTTTAAGATGGTTATTAATACTAGCAGGGATGTGTCCACTTTGGTGGATATCATGATTTAGCCTTTTAAGATTTTTTAATTCACTACATTGTTCCTTCCACTGACATGAAAGTGTTAATTTTTTGTTTCTCCCTTTATATCTCCTTGATTAAAAAAAAAAATTCAAGAAATGCCCCTGAATAAGAGATATTGATTTATAAAGAAGCTAAACTTTTGACATTTTAAAAAAGTATTCTAAGTAAAATAAAAAAAGTTAAGTAGTATTAAAACATTTCAGCCCTTTAGAGTATGTGTTGAGTTGTATGTTTTGTTAAATATTGTTTGTATGTATGCAAGGCAAACCAACAATGGTTTAAACTTGGATTTTGTGTATGACAATTACAGTGTGTGTGTGACAATTACTAGTACAGTTATCTTAATTCTTAACTTCTGTCAATTGTCAAAACCGTGAAATATACTTATACTTTAACTTTACGTTTTCTTTTACAGAGTAATAAACTATTTCTTGAGCTTACACAGGTTGTAACTTTTTTTGTTATGAAACCGACTGAGAGGGTGCTCTTGAAAGTTTCAGTTTGTCTGACATTATGTTATTTATGACATTATATAATACTTTCTACGAGAAGAGTTGCTAGAATTTTACACTAATCATTCTTATTATTAATAATAGTAAATAGTCTTAATTATGAGTAATGGACAAACTACAAAAAGCTTCAATGACCATTCTGCCCCAGGTCATTAGTTGGGTACCCTTGCTTCTAATAGTGTTTTTGGCCCTTAACCCAAGAACACCTGATGAAGCTAGGCCTGCTTAGCAAATTTCGAAGCACTGAAGCAAAATTGGT